ATAGTATTTATGAGATTTTTAATTAAATAGAAAAATGTGAATTTCTATGGTTTGGGTGATGTGCTGTTTTCCAAATTAAAAACTGCATATACAAAAAAATCCCTCAAACAGCCATAAATAATTTGGTGTGTTGGCAATAATTTACCTCCTAAGGACTTCATATGAAGTGTGAAGCAATTTTGATAAATTAAAGGAAATCATATGTCCTCTAACATAACAAATATGAAAATAAATTACATTTGATGTTTTGTATATACTTTTTTTTAAAAAGATTTTATTTATTTGACAGAGAGAGAGAGAGAGAGGGAGCACAAGTAGGCAGAGCGGCAGGCAGAGGGAGAGGGAGAAGCAGGCTTCCTGTTGAGCAGGGAGCCTGACGCGGGGCTCGATCCCAGGACCCTGGGATCATGACCTGAGCTGAAGGCAGCCACTTAACCAACTGAGCCACCAGGTGCACCTTGCATGTACTTTCGAAAAACAATCCACCAGTAAAAAAAATGCACGTGAACAAGAAGGGGAGTTCTTACAAGGGTCAAACAAAACCTTTCTCGTTTAATCAAATCTGTTCTCAACATAAGCAAATGAGAAGTCGAAATTTCAATCTGAAAAAGCAAAACCAGGGGATTTTAGAGATGAAGAGTCCCTTGGAAATCATCTGGATCTAAGCCATCATTTTGTAGATGAAGAAACGGAGAACCAAGAGTCAAGCAAGATAGCCCACAGTCAAAGGCTGTCTATGTAATGGCGGAGTCTGGACCCGAAGCCACGATCCTGATGTCCAGGCTCACCTGTTCCACTGTGCCATGCTAGCTCCAGACTGAGACTGGTCTTTTTCTTGGCAGGGTTATCTTGCAGTAATAGAAACCAGGAATGCATAACTGATCATCCCTTAGTGGGCTTGCGAACTTTTTTTTTCCAAAGCATGCTGGCAGTTGGTAAAAGTAACTGTTGATCTTATTAATAGCAACCCATATTTCAAAAATACCTTCAGGAGCGAAAAAGGAAACTCCTTTTCAGGACAACAGATCATCCCTGCTACAAAAAGAAGTATGTGCACTACTTGCAGGGGTACACAGGGTATTTGGCACTTTACAATTTTACTTATAATAAATTACCATTATGGTCAGTCGTAGACTCACACACAAAAAGCCCCCTGCTCATGTCAACCAGCACTCAATATTGCATGCTGCAATAGCAACGGAATTGTCGCTACTCGAGGATTCTGTATCTCCTCACACGCGGACTTGGCCCTCTCCCATCTGTATTTGCTACCATCACTCCGCGGAAACAGCCTTACTAAGGTCAACAGTGAATTGACAGCAAACGCAATGGTTATTTTTCTGTACACATCTACCTTAACCGCTCAGCAGTGCTGTCACCTCTGTCCACCCTCCCTCCCATTATCCTATCCCCGGCTTCCTCCTACCTCTTTTTCTTCCTTCTCAGAACTATATTCCTCCACCGGTGTATGCTGGTACGTATTCCTCAAGGCTTGGCTGTAAATGGTGGTCTTGTTTTATACGGGCCTCCTAGGCAAGCCCATCCTGATCTGTGTTTGCATCCACATCGGTCACACCCCGTAAACTCCCCACGTACCATCTCCACTCCAACTAAAACATTTCCTGACTTCTAGACCTGTGTATCTGATTATTTGATTAACATTTTTTAACTGGATGTCTCAAAGATGCCTCAAAATCAAGATCGCTATGTATTAACTCATCATCTTCCTCCTTCCCATGCCACATCTCCTCTTGTGTTTCTTATCTCACAGAATGGCACCATTCTCTCTCAGCGACACCAACCAGACCCAGGAATCAGTGTGATTCCTGACTTCACCTCCTCCCGTGCCCTCCATTTCCAATCCACCTCCAGCGGGGTTGATGCCATCTACTAAATTCTCCTGGATCTGTCCACGTCTATCATCTCGCCACTGCCACCGGCCCTCCAAGCTATCACATCTCGGTACAATGTCTCCCAGATGGTCTCCTAGCATCCCTCTGGTTCTCCTTCATTAGTTTCAACACAAAGGGGTTGACTGCGACAACACTCAGAACACTTCCTCTTGCTCATACTAGATTCCTAACATGCCTGCAAGGTGTTCTATGGTCCGAGGCCAGCCTTCCTTTCCTCTCATGCCGCACCATACCTCCCCCCTCCCTGAAATGTAGCCTCTCTATTCCGTCCTGTTAGCAGTTCCACTCATCATAATTCCTCCAACCAACGGGCCTTTGCATGTGCTATTCCTTTTCACCAGAATGCGACCCCCTCCCTTTACTTATCTAACTTCCATAATTCCATCAGAGCTCAGCTCAGTCATCTTTTCTTCATGGACACCTTCACTGACAGCCAATTCGGGGCCAGATTCTCGTTATATGCTCTAGAGAATTATGTTTTTAGCATTTATCTGAAATTGTCATCATAAACTCCCTTTGTTTTTATTTAATTAATGTCTATCTTTTCTACTAGATAGAGGTGTAAGATCATAGGGCATACAGGGCTGTTTTGGCACAGTGCCTCGTAGAATGTCTGGCACATATGTTCAGTAAACTTCTGCCGAGTGAATGAAATTATCATTATATTCCTGAGCTTAGCAAGTATAACCCAGTTCAAGTTTGGAAATAGAAATGCAAAACAGAATATATCAAATAAAACTGGTCTCCATTCTTTTAATCAACTTTCACCTTTGGCCATTCTGTACGTTCATTCACCTAACAACTATTTACTGATGGAGTCAATGTGGAATGCCCGATGAATGCTGTTGCTTTTATTTTTTAAAGATTTTATTTATTTGTCAGGGAGAGAGAGCACAAGTGGGGGAGGGCAGAAGGCAGAGGGAGAAGCAGGCTCTCCGCTGAGCAGGGAGCCCGACGCAGAACTCGATCCCAGGACCCTGGGATCATGATCTGAGCCGAAGGCAGACACTTAACCAACTGAGCCACGAAGGCACCCCAAAGATTTTATTTTTTTTTAAGTAATCTCTACATCCAACATGGGGCTCAAACCCAGAACCCCAAAATCAAGAGTCGCATGTTCTACTGACTGAGCCAGCCAGGTGCCCCTGTGTTACTTTAAAATAACACAATTTTGTTTTATTAGATTCTACACTTTTGGGAGCTGGTCAGACCAGCACTACCACTGCAAATACACACAGATGCTATCCTTCTTTCACTGGTTCTAAAAAGTTCTGACACAACATGAAAGTAAAAATATCAGGTTCTCTTTATTTGTAACAGATAAAAACTGAAGTTCGGCCATTTAACATAGAATTAAAAACCAGTACAGTTACATCTGTAACAAAAGGACAGTGGGTGTTCATCCACAGCACTGTTTCTGGTTTGTTTCTGTGGTTGGGCCTGGTCATTTCCCCTAGGGATTTTCTTTTCAGTGGGAAGATCATCTTCAAGACAAAAAATGTCGATCAGACTCCAGTTCCAGTACATATTTTATTCACTTCTATATATACATACCCTTACCCTATCTTGCTCCAATCTTTTTATTGCATTCCTATTGACAGCAGTCATTTATTATAACCCGCCCCAACATTGATTATACCCCCCAAGTATTTACAGTTAAAAAGAATTTCCACATAGCACAAATCAACTCAGCTGTCCGTGTGCAGAAGTCACATAATCCTCACTGAACAGAAATACTTTTCTCCAGCTTTGGGGAAATAATTATATGTTAAACACACACAGAGAACATTTCTTAGACAACCATAATGCCTGAGGCTCATCTGGTAAGACAGATTGCTTCATAATTCTTAGCACAATAAAAAATATCTTTAGAAACTGAGAACCGAAGAATATTTAAAACAAAAACAGAAAATCACACACACTGGTCACCTGATACCTGACCTATAGATTGAAATTCTGTCAAAACATTTTCAGTGAGGCTTTTCATTTCAAACAGGCCAGGAAAAAAAAAAAACAAAACCCTAAAATGTATATTTTTTATATGTGGCTCTTTGTCCTCTTAAGAGCTGTTTTTTCATTTAAAGTTTATATGTAATATTTTTAAAAGATTTATTACAAGAGGGACTGTCTCAGTCAATTTATCGTGAGAAGTTATCAACAACAGCTTTTAATGCTCAACTATCAAGAAGCTGGAAGGCAGAAACACTTTGCAAGGAAATGTGTGACACTACATTTCCTTAAGTGGAAACCCTGTATTTCCCTTGTAACCTAATTTTTTAAAAATTTAAAATCCTTTAAAACTAAAAAAATTTAAAATCCTTTAAAAACTAATGGAACTGGTTAAATATTCACTATTTTTCTACTTCTCTTTAAAATCTTTCCTCATATTTTCACCAAGTTTCTGCTTAATGTTTGGATAGTATTTGCCCTGACTTGCTGCATGAAAATCTTCCTCAGCCACCGTAGAGAGAGTTCACTACAAAGCCTTTAGTGCCAAAGAAAGCTCCAGGCCTGCCTCCAACGTGGGAGGCAGGGGGTGATAGCAGGGAGGTGGTAATAAGAAATGACCAACATGAAATGCTCAACGAGGCCAACAGAACGGGATAAGACACCTGCTCAGTTCCATCCATAGTCTCCTCTTTGGGCCATTTAAACATGGAGCCATTTTGTTTTTCAGCGTCACATACAGTTTCTAGAGATCACTGAGAGCTCAGAAACAAGAGAACACCTATAGCAACCGTAGTTTTCTGGATAATGTATAACTTCTTATATCAATTTTCTACTGGAAATATGGTACTTTTAGATTTGGATTTTCTCTTAGGGTCTTCTCTCCTACACTTTGCTTTCTATGACTGATAATTTCATTTCTGTAAGTGAAATAAGCAGGAAGTTTCACGTATTTTATTTGGCATAATCAAACCATCCTAGAGACTTCATATAATCAATCTTTGAAAAGAAGCTGGAGCTGTGGTCTTAGAGGTACTCTAAAAGAGAAAGTCCTATTTATGAATAAAATATCCTTTGTGCTACTTCTTGCAAACCATCACTCAATGAATTTTGCAATATAATGTTTTCTTCCTCTTTGAAAGTAACTTGCACACCGAATTAACACTTTTTTATCTTCTTGGGGTGGCTTTCTTTTCTCCACCAAAACCCAATTATGGACGCTGTACCAGTTTACTCTTACTTCCTTCCTGTTCACTGAGTTTCAAATGGGTATAGGTGAGGATGCCAAATAATGTGCATAACATGCCAAGACCCTGATTAATTGACAATGGATCCTTAAATAAAACATATCCTCCAAATAAAGTAATGCAGAACTTGAAGTGTCCAAACATGTTATAGCTGAGTTTTTTGGCTAAGGATCAACAAAACCAACAAGTTAGATTGTGATACACACACACACACACACACACGCACGCACGCATGCAAAGCCTTCCCGTGGCTGGAAGAACTGCAGGAAGCACAGACTGAATCGCGCACCCCCCTCCCCCATATAAGAAACAAGAACTTCGGTCTGGGTCGATCCTAGTTTTCTCAGTAAGCTTCAGCAATAGTGACAGGAGACTGCCTCAACTATCTCGACTCTCTCCAGAGAAGAGCAAAGGGGCTATGCTATAAGGTTGGAAAAGGAACTCAGAACAAGGTACAGAGAAGCTATTTTGCCCAGCAATTTATGATTATATTTTATAGTGCTATTTCTAATAAACCTCCCTTGGCAATGAGGGAGATGTGTGTGGCACCAGACAGCAGACTCAAGGTAAACACATCCAGTATGCCTCAGTTTGGGAGGGAAACGGGGCAAGGGGAGGGAGTAAGACCAAGCATCAGTGATATGCTAGGCGCTATGTTACATGCGTGTGTCACCCCATGTCATTAAGCATGACATTTACCCTCACTGCAATATCACTCTTCCCATCCTATAACCGTTGGGGCTCAAGGATTTCAAGTAACTTCGATCACAGAGTTTGGAAGTGGCAGAGTTGGGAGTCCAAACGTGGACGGGCCTATTCAACTCCAAGTCCAGGTTCCAGTCTGGTGTGTGGCCAGCAGTAACGTGCTGCTGGACTCGGGGTTTCCAAATCACTGTGCTTAAAAATAACAAACTAAACAGACAGCATGCCTTTAACAATTATTCTTTCCATATTTTACATATGTGCTTTTCCATATAAATTAGGACTTCCCTATGTTTTCAGAGTATGCAGCTACTCTTCCAATAATGCTGTTAGAAACAGCTACCACGGGGCGCCTGGGTGGCTCAGTCGTTAAGTGTCTGCCTTCGGCTTAGGTCATGATCTCAGGGTCCTGGGATCGAGTCCCCCATCGGGCTCCCTGCTCAGGGGAGAGCCTGCTGCTCCCCCCGCTTGTGCTCTCTAGCGCTTGCTCTGTTGAATAAATTTTTTTAAAAATCTAAAAAAAAAAAAAAAAAAAGAAAGAAAAGAAAGAGCTACCACTCTGTGCCTCAGCTTCCCTGTCTGTACACTGGAAATCGATACAAGCTACATCACAGGATTAACTAGGCTAATAGATGCGAAGTTTTTAGCCCGCTGCAAGCACCACGTGTGCTGGCCGTTGTCAAGAGCAGTATTTATGCATAATAAATACCTGCCAGGGGCTTGGGGCAGCCCGACACTGCAGATGCCACCAGCCCTGACTCATGGCAGAGGAGAGCGGTGGCTGCGGGCCAGGCTGGGCGCGCACACCTGGGCCCAGCTGACCGCAAGCCTCCGGCTCTGGCCTCTGGCTCTGGCCTCCGCCGGCTCCTTTGGGGCAGGAGAGCGCCAGCCATGTCACCAGGGGACCTGCGCTCGCCTGACCCACTAGACAGGATTTCCCGAGAGACAGAGGCCCTTCCCCAGGACGTTAATTCTACCCATTAGAAGACAGGCTTTGTTTCCCATGGTGAACTATCTCAAAGCACACTGGTTCTAACACTTCAGTGTTTCTTTACTCCTCAGCCTCTCTTTTTAAGTAGTTCATGATCTGTGGAAGGTGGTTATACGAGAGGGAAGGCAAATTTAAAGAAAATTCTTCAGTGAGGTAAAAAAAATACATACACATTAAATTCAATGCAAAAGGAATGGTCTATACCCGGTATCTCCAATTCCCCTCTCTGCTCCAGTCAGGCTTTCCCCTTGACACTCAGAAAGCTCTTGTCAGAACACGGGCGCCCTCCACCTTCCCGAGCCCCCTCCTCAATTCCCAGCCTTCCTGGACGTGACCTGTCAGTGGCATTCAACCCGGCTGACCCCGTTCCTCCTCACCTGGGGGGCCTGTACGCCTTCCTTCCCCTTCCTCGGCCGTCCCTCCTCGGCCTCCGCTGCCAGCTCCCCTCAGCTCTGCAGCAGCCAACACCAACGTGACCCAGGACCCAATCTCTGGGCGGCTCTTCTTCTTCTACTTGTTTGCTCGGTGACCTGCACCAGACTCACCGCTTTAAACAGTATCTACACAGGACACCCGACTGTCCCTGGAAGAGCTGCGGCTGAGACCCCGACCCTGAACTCTCAGGCTTGTTCTCCCCCCAACTCCCCAGCCCCAAACCTCCTTCGGGCTGTCCTATGTCAGCTGATGGCAGTGCCGTCCTACCAGGCGCTCAGGCCCAAGCCACGTGAGCCAACCTGTTTCCTCTCCTATTCTCCACATCCGACTTGTCAGCAAAGCCCATTGGTGCTACCTGAAAACATACCCAGGCTCCAATCCTGGTACCAAACCACCATCCTTTCTCCAGGGTCCCTTCTTCTCTTGCCTCTTTTAGTGCAGTGCTTCTCAACCGGGCTGATTTTGTCACCAAAAAGGTCTGGACACCTTTCTGGCCATCGTAACTGGGAAAAAGGGGCGCTACTGGCATCTAGTGGGTAGAAGCCAGGATGCTGCTAAACATCCTATGGTGCATAGGACCGGCCTCTGCAAACGAGAACTGTCCAACCCACAAGGTCAACAGCATTGAGGCTGAAACACCCTGCTTCAGTCTACTCTCAACTCAGTAGCCCAGAGTGATCCCATTAGAACATAGGTAAAATCACATCATTTCCCCGCCCCAAGCGCCAACGGCTTCCCATCTCACTCAGGTACAAGCTCTGCTCAGCCCGGCGCCCTGTCCCGCTCAGAGCCTTACTCTTCTCCACCTGTCCTGTCCCTGCTGCAACCATGAGGCCTCCTGGGTGCTCATCAGGGCCTCCCCACTGCTCCCTCTGCCGGGAACGCTCTTCATCCCAATCTGCATGGGGCGACTTCTTTTCCGCCAGGTCTTCGCTCAGAAGTAGCCTTCCTGACTGCCCCCTCTAAAGTTTCAACCCGGCTGCCAACATTTCAGGTCCTCTTTCCTGCTTTCCTTTTTCTCCTTGGCACTTCACACTACCTCACACTGTATATGTATACTTCAATTTTTTTCTTGTTTATAGTCCCCCTCACCAGAATTGAAACCTGGGAGAGCAAGCATTTTTGCTCACTACTGTATCTCCAGGGCCCAACATATGGTAGACACTCATCATGTAAGCACCTATTAAGTCAATGCATGGTTTATAGTGGGGGTTCAATGAATATTTGTTGAACGAATGTTCTTAATCAGGGCACATCACTGGATGCCTTGATTCGGCAGCGTGGTGTAAAAGGTCTGGGACTAGACCGCGTGGGTTCAAATCTGGCCACCACACTTCTCAGCTATAGGACCGTAAGCATGTTACTTAACCTCTCTGCACCTCTGCTTCCTGCTCTGCAAAATACAGTGATAGAATTTACCTCACGGAGCTGCTTTGAGAGTCTGATGCCTAATATACCTGAAGTGTTTCTTTCCAACGTGCCTGGTGCAAAATAAACATTTATTAAGTGTTGGGGTTTTTTTTAGAAAAATTACTTTTATTATAACTGTTGTTGGTATTTATTGATAGTTGGCAAATAGGCTGCTTTTTTACTTTGCTGACATCTCAGTGCTCACTCATTTAAATAAGTCAGCACACTTGGATACAATGTTTCTAAACTACCTCTCTGATTTGGGGAAATCCTTCTTTGCTTAAGAGTAGAGATGGAGTGAAACGAGAAGAGAAACAGAATGACAAGCAAAATGTTAAAAATGATTCAGACCTCTAAGGCCTGATTTCATTTCTTGATTGGAAGTAATACTGAGAAAAACAGGTACACCCATACCCAAATACGCACAGAAACATGTTCAAAAGTCAGATGTCAATGGTCCGAAGTTATCCTTTGTTTTTGCACTGGCTGTACCGGTACTTTATTACTATAGGGACTGCAAAGTGACTAAAAACTGTGGCGTCCACTTCGTTATCCACTCAACAAGTACTTATTTAATTCAACTATGTACCAGGCTTGGTGTTCTATGTTGATTTTGATAAGGGAAAAAGGTCACTTACCGCAAAAGAAAATAAAAAAGTCTTCGTGAGATAGAAAACTAACCCGTTTCCCTGGCTCACCTTTCTTTAAGTTTCCATAGAGTCTAGTGTGGAAAGATATAGGAAAAGACTGAAAACAAGTCTAGCTACTCAATGTAGGCCACGTAATTGTAAGCGCAAGACTCCCAGAAGGAAATGAATATGACAGAGTTTGGGAAAATGTAAAAGACTATGCATTTGTGAGTTACTAGGAAAAGGATACGTGACTGGTGACGTGTTCCCAATGATCCAATAAATCGACAAGTTCACCATGAAAGCTATTCCTCCAGAGAGCAGCACCATAAGCTACAAATAAACCCAAAGAATCAATGTAAAGCAGTTGCGATCCTTATAGTCATCAAGTAAAAATCCATTTCATTAGGCATTTCTAAAAACTTAAATAACCACCATTAAGAACAAGAGTTTTAAAAGAATCCATTTGAGAGACAGCAAGAATTGAGGGTAAAATAGCAGAATGGATAATATGCAGAAATGTAATTTTGTCTACAATATGCAATGGAAAATTCTCCAATAACATCCTGCCTGAATGTGAATTTCCAGGTTCATTTTTCTTACCCATCTGAAGAAAAATTATTTTGTAATAATTTCTAATTATAAAAGTAATACATATTCCATATAGAAAAATCAGAAAATAAAGACAAGCAAAAAGAATGTAAGGACTTTCTATAATCCTAACCACCCACCACTGTTAATACCTTTGCACGTATCCCTCCAGATGTTTTTCTTTTTTTGTTGTTGTTGTTTTTTAAGATTTTATTTATTTGAGAGAGAGAGAGAATGAGAGATAGAAAGCACAAGAGGGAAGAGGGTCAGTGGGAGAAGCAGACTCCCCGCCGAGCAGGGAGCCCGATGTGGGACT